ACACACACACACACACACACACACACACACACACACACACACACACACACACACACTATTGACACTTTAGAACCTGATCGCCGCCTCCACCAAGCTGGAGGGACCCCCAAGCTGACTAGAGCAAAAAAAAAAAAAAAACCCTAACTAAGCAGTTCTTCCAAAATCTATGCAAAGCTTTGCGCCAGCTGCCCCGCCGCTGACTCGGGGATAAGGAGCTCTTCGTAATTGCCAGAGATACGAGGGAATTCTCTCGCTTCCACCCCCCCCCCCTTTTCCGCTTGGAGAGTCCGCGGAATAGGGGACAAAGCTACTGGGGAACTGGGAAAGGGGAGTCGCGGGGACGGAGCAGGATGGAGATGCAGGGGAAGTTTGATGTGTTGGGTTGGTTTCCGCATTGGGAATGTGGATCCTAGTGGGGGGAAAGATTGTACATTCCTCCGCTCGGCGCACAGGTTTTTTTTCTCCCCCCGCCCCTCTTTTGCAGCGTGATTTGCTTCACGCGGAATCTCGCTCACCCTCTGTCACCTCACACTCTTTCTCTGGCTGCAATTCCACTGCCACTCACCCTGGCTGCCAGCTGCTGCCCCAAAGCGTCTCCCGACGTTTCTCACCACCCAGCCAACCCCCATTCCTCACAAGGCTCCCTTCAGAGGACCCTCTCGGATCAATTCCCAGCAGGCAGTCAAGCTGGGCAAGGCGGTTCAACTGCTCCCAACCATTTTTTGAACTAGCTCCGATTGGGGAAGGCTCAAAGAGACTGGGTGCTTTCGCTCTGGATTGCCACCGGTACGGGATGCTCCTCCGAATCCTTCGCGCCTTCGTCTTGCACCCAGTCCTGCTAGGAACTGACTCCGCAAAAGGGTAAAAACGCAACAATAACAACAACCACCACAACCACAACAACCCGAGAACGAGCCAGCCAGCAAGCCAGAAAACGGCAGGAAGATGCCAAACGCAGCGTGAGGGACATTCTGCCCTGCAAAAAAAGCGGGAGGGGAAGCAAGACGTGGAAAACTGGCGCGCGGTCTAATTACCTGCGAATCGCTAGTCGCTTGACTCCTGACACTAATTCGAGTCAAGCCCCGCTGGGATTCCGCAGGCGCACTTCTTTGCTTCCCCCCCTCCCTCCCCGCCACTGGCGAATGTACTCGGCTCCACGCGCGACGCCTGCCGGAGCAGTGGAAGGAGCGAGGCAGGCTCAACTTTTCATTCCGAAAAGGAGGAAAGGGAAGGCGCGTCGGAGGGCGATGGACGACCCAGGCTCCCATTTCTCCTTCCAAACTTGCCCTGAATGGATCGCTTTCTTGTCCGTGCCTTTCTAACTCGCTCGCTCGCCTGGATTCTCCCGTCCCTCCACCTCTCTCTCTCTCTCCTCCCGCCTCCCCCCCTTCCTCCAACATTCCCCCAGCAGATGGATTTTTGCCACTGCGGCTCAGCAGAGGGTGTCAGATCTTCCTGAGTGCGCCAGGCTCGAAAGAGCACACACAACCTCTGAACAACTCCTGCCTTTCCGAGGAGCGTGGAGGAGCGAGGAAGTGAGTACACCATGAAAAGAAGGGGACGAAAGGCGGAGAAAGGCGGAGAGCAGCAATGACGGAAAGGCAGTAGAGAGAGACGGAGAGGTGGGGGGAAAGATTGTGTGTGAGTGAGAGAGAGAGAGAGAGCGAAGGCAAGGGAGGAAAGCGTGGACAGAAGCAAAACCGCAGCGATATGCAGAATTTTCGCAGCGCCATTGGTTCGGCAGCCCGCCGTGAGGCTGGGGCGTGATTTCAGCACCAAGGGGAACTGGACAGCACCCAAAGGGCTTCTTCCGGCCACCCGGCGTCGACCACAGCAGCAGCGGCGAAGGGCCGGCTTTGCGCGCTCCAGAGAGAGAGAGAGAGAGAGAAAGAGAGGGAGGCAAGGTCAGTCCGAAGCCAAGCCATGCGCCCGGCCAGCGATCTTCTCCCACCTCCGTCCCTCCAGCCCTGCCACCCTCCTGCGGATGCAGCAGCGGCCTCTTCTCCCGCCGATTCCTAGCGAGACCGTCCCTTAAAGCCCAGCAGCTCGAGGAGATCGACTTTGCTTCGGTGGGGGTGGGGTGGGGGTTGCTTTGGGGTCGGGGGGACGACGACGACGACGACGAAGAAGGGGGGAAGCCACCGAAGGGGAGTTGATGAAGCGGGAGGGGGATTCAACTTTTCTCCTCGTCCTTCTTTTTTTTCCTCTCCTTCTTCTTCTTCTGTTTTCCCCGGGTGTATCTGGAGACTTTGTGGATATGATCCCTGACTGGAGTCCGGGCTGTTGCAGTATTTGCGGGGGGAGAGAGAGCTGAAAAAAAAAAGGCGAGCGAACCCGTGCCACTCAACCTCTCCCCCCTCACTGCATTCCCCTTTCGCCAAGACAACTGTGTATTTTTTTCTTTTAAAAAAACTTCTATCTTTTTTCCTTTTTTGCCTCTCCCATCACCACCACCAAACCTTTCCTCCCCCCCTCCCCCCCCTCTAATTTTGACGATGGTTCGGACATTCCGTGCCTGGAAGAAACTTGACTGGGCTCCAGCTTGAGAAGAAGCCTTTTTTTTTTCGCCTTGTAGTTTTTTTTTTTTTCCCCCTCTGTGCGTTTCAGCTCGGGAATGACTCGCTGGGTGTAAAAATGCTGCTTTGGATCCTCTTGCTGGAGACGTCTCTTTGTTTGGCTGCCGGGAACGTTACGGGGGACGTTTGCAAAGAGAAGATCTGCTCGTGCCCCGAGATCGAAGGCGACTTGCACGTCGACTGCGAGAAGAAGGGCTTCACCAGCCTGCAGCGTTTCTCGGCCCCCACGTCCCAGTTCTACCATTTGTTCCTGCACGGCAATTCCCTCACGCGCCTTTTCCCCAATGAGTTCGCTAACTTTTACAATGCAGTCAGTTTGCACATGGAAAACAACGGCTTGCACGAAATTGTGCCGGGAGCTTTCCTGGGGCTGCAGTTGGTGAAGAGGCTGCACATCAACAACAACAAGCTGAAGTCTTTTCGCAAGCAGACTTTCTTGGGGCTGGATGATCTGGAATACCTCCAGGCTGATTTTAATTTATTGAGGGATATTGACCAAGGAGCCTTCCGGGACTTAAACAAGCTGGAGGTGCTGATTTTGAACGACAATCTGATCAGCATCTTACCTGCCAACGTGTTCCAGTATGTGCCGATTACCCATTTGGATCTACGAGGTAACCGCCTGAAAACCTTGCCTTACGAGGATGTTTTGGAACAGATCCCAGGCATTGCTGAGATCCTGCTGGAGGACAACCCTTGGGACTGTACCTGCGATCTACTCTCCTTGAAAGAATGGCTGGAGAACATCCCCAAAAATGCTTTGATCGGCCGGGTGATTTGTGAAGCTCCCACACGTTTGCAGGGGAAGGATTTAAACGAGACAACCGAACAGGAGTTGTGCAGGAAAACCCGGGTAGATTCCAGCCTTGCAGCTCCCCCTGCAGAAGAGGAGACTTGTGATCCTGGCCCCATTCCCACTCCTTTTAAGATCCATGGCAAGGAAGATGCTGCCACGCCAGGTTCTGCCCCTCATGGAGGTACCAAGATCCCAGTCAATTGGCAAATCAAATCCAGACCTACAGTGGCCAGCTCAATCCACACCATGAAAGGCAAGTCTTCCAGCAGCACTCCCTGCCCTGCCACCTGCACTTGCCACCAGATCCCTGGAGGGTTCAAGGTAAACTGCAATGATGGCAACATCAGCAGCCTGGTGGACCTGAAGCCTAAGCCATCCAACCTCCATGAACTCTTCCTAAGGGGCAACAAGATTCACACCATTCGCAAGTCCCATTTTGTGGATTATCAGAAACTCAACCTATTGGACTTGGGCAACAACAACATTGCCACTATGGAAAACAATACTTTCAAAAACCTGCTGGAGCTGGTGTGGCTCTACATGGACAATAATTATTTAGACATACTCTCTCGAGAGAAGTTCAACGGTTTGCAAAACCTAGAGTACCTAAATATGGAATTTAATGTCATCCAACTCATCCAGCCAGGGACCTTTAATGCCATGCCTAAACTGAGAGTACTGATTTTGAACAACAATCTTCTGAGGTCTCTGCCAGTTGATGTTTTTGCTGGAGTCTCCCTCTCTAAGCTCAGCATCCACAACAATTACTTCCTTTATCTGCCGGTGGCAGGAGTGCTGGATCAGCTCACCTCCATTACCCAAATAGATCTGCATGACAACCCATGGGACTGCAAATGTCCAATTGTCCCTTTCAAACAATGGGTGGAGATGCTGAGGCCAAAGGTGATGATGAGTGACTTAAGGTGTGAGACCCCAGAAGAGTTCTTTAAGGAGGACTTTGAATCTCTGTCCAATGAGGCCATTTGCCCTCAGCTCAAAGTCATGCCCACTTTGACTTCCACCCATAAGAACAGCACTGGCTTGGCAGAGACTGGGACTCACTCTAATTCCTACTTGGAGACTAGTAGGGTCTCCATCTCAGTGCTGGTGCCTGGCCTTTTGTTGGTGTTTGTCACCTCTGCCTTCACCGTGGTTGGCATGCTCGTCTTCATCCTGAGGAACCGGAAACGCTCCAAAAGGAGGGATGCCAACTCTTCTGCCTCAGAGATCAACTCTTTACAGACAGTATGTGACTCCTCCTACTGGCACAATGGACCCTATAGTACAGATGGAGCCCACAGAGTGTATGACTGCGGTTCTCACTCCCTATCAGACTGAGACTACAAAATTCAAAGTTTTAAAAAAAAACATGTAACATCTGTGTATGGGCAATCAGTTCAACTTTCAGCAGCTAGCAACCTCAACTTCCCTTCGGTGGTTCAGAGCTTTCTTTTCCCCTGATCTGTGCATTCTGCCCATCTTGTCCGCTGATGTGAATTGGACCACAGGAAGGGAATGGGGCTTAGCTCACTTAAAGCTACCTTCTGGTGAAACACACCTACCCGCTCACCAAACCTGGGCCAGGACGATGAGTGGAGGCCTGCCTTTTTTTAAAGTATTGTTATTATTTTGATTTTTTTTTAATTATTATGTTTTGCCTAGCCTCAACCTGAGGTTGTGTAAACTCTACACTGTATAACCAGTGGGAAAGAAATAAATAGATCCAACCGAAAGGCCAAGATTGGCTTCCTATTGCAGCAAGAGAAAGAGGGTGAATGCACTCTCCTGCAGGTTGATTCCTAACCGATTGTGGATTTATATTGGCCCTTATGTGTGGTGGGGGAACAGAAGCTCTTGCTTGTGCCCTCCCTGTTGTGAACAAGGCAGGAGAGCCCAGTTGCACGAAGGCATGAATGTAATTGTAAATAGAATAACTCTGATCTAGAACAAACCAACCCAAGTTGCTGCATGGTTCGCATGGATACAAAACCACCCAAGGGACGCTTCGCCCCCCCCAAAAGGAAGCTGCGTCCAGTTCACCTCGTCCTCCCTCTTCCCCTCCCCATAAGTTCCATCGTATCAAAACTTTCTATATACAGATACAGTATAATAAGAATAAAAAAGAAAGAAAGTGCCATTTCGCCATTATTTTTGTGTGATTGCTAGGCAGTAGAGATCATCCTTTTACTGTGAAAAAAAAAAGAAAGAAAGAAAAGAAAAACCAGGAAAATTGTAAAGGTTTTATTTAAGACATGTTTGCATGGTTTATATCCTCCTGGTTTAGTTTTTTGCATTTTGGGCTGGGGGGGAGGGGCGGGGAGGAATTTACTTTCATGGGGAATTTCCCTCCCCCCTTCTCTTTAGGGTGGGAGGAGGGGATGAATTTGCTTCTGTTTTTTTTTTTAAGCTTCTTTTGGAAACTGACATCTCCAGAATCCCTTTCCATCTGAATGTAAAGCAAGTACCCTAGAGGTATTTTTCTCTGTTGATCAATATGTTATTCCTTGGATTTTGTCTCGTTTTTTTGGCTTTGGTTGGTTTTTTTTAATAAATAAAAACGAAAACAGAAACAGAACCAAACCAAACAGAACCGAAAGCCTGGAGCAGTTAAGCATGAGTAGTGAATGCCACTTGAATGCTTAAGTTGCGGAGATGAATGAAAGGAGGTTTTTGTGTTCTTGTAAATCAGACTCTGGGAAATATATCTATATATCTATATACACATAATACTATCTGGAGAAAAATATGAGCTGAAGTTAAAAGAAAAAGCAAGCAAGACTTACTAATTCTATTCAAGGATTTTATAATGGCATATTTTTTCAGTATTAAAGTGAAAATGTTTTCAAGGCTTGGGTCATTCATTTTAATGTACCCCCCCCCCTCACCCTCATGTCGCTTTTTTTAACGGCCACCAACCGGGGGTTGTTTCATGTTAATGTAGGTTGAAAGCGATGGTGAAGTCACTTCATTTTCATTCCTTGTGATCTTAAAACCGTGNTTTACTCCCAAGTCAACCCCTGTTCTTTAGCTGTTCCCTTTATCTGGCAACTCTGCGCATGCGCACACTGGGAACAGGGTCCAGCTCTTTGTCTGCCTCACTGATATCTGACTCAGAAGGCAGCTGATAACTGGCATATAGTTCTGGCCCCCTCTCTGCTCTGACAAAGAGCCCTCATCAGAGCCTTCTCCAGACTCCAGAACTGGCCCATGTTCCTCACGAACCACCTCACTGTCTGAATCTGCTGCCAGCTCTGCTGGCCGCTAGCAGGCCACAACCCTCCCTGCTTGCTTATGTTACCTTTTTTATTATTATTGTGTTAAAATGGTGGGAAACCATCAATTTCTCCTTCATTTTTTAAAATGTCTCTGGGGACCCAGTAGGGTTCTTAAGCTTTATTTATAAAACAAAATTGACAAGCACCTACAGTGCTACATTGTGTGAAGGTAAGCCCACCAGACATGGCATTGTATGCTTGCAGTTTTCAGTCATTTCAGTTTCAATGGAAAAAATATTTGAAGTGGATTTCTCTTGCATCATCCCCTCCCCTTTCACACCCCCACCCCATGATTTTTGGTGTTATAAAATATGCTGCAGAGCAGTTGTGTACATATACTCTGGTGATTTTTGCTCAAAGAGTGTTCTCTAGAGCCACCAAAGCAGTGCCTTAGACTGGCCTGTTTTACATGCTGTTTGAAATAGCTCATTGTATCTCCTACCAAATGGTCAGATAATAAAAGAAGTAAAATAAGGTGGTGGGGTATTAAGAAAGCAGTGTTTCTTTTCACTATCTGGCAGATTACTGTAAATATTTTTGTTGTCATATACTTGCCTTCTGAGCCTAAATTATATTCTCTCATAGAGAAAATACCTAAATGTGGACTTGGAGATGGATAATAGCAATTCACCCAGCGTCTTTAGTTAAAATAGGCTAAAGTAGGCTTCTGTCTGTCTGTCTGTCTGTCTGTCTNCAAGCATGATGATTGACAAGTGGGACTACTGATGGTGATTGGGCTTCAGTATCTCTGAAAGAGAGGGAGAGGGAGGGAGAGAGAGAGAGAGAGAGAGAGAGAGAGAGAGAGACAGACAGACAGACAGACAGACAGACTGGAGGAAATAAAACCTCCCCCTGAAAAAAACTAATTACTAATGGAATTTCCTAACCTCTCTCTCTCCCCCTCCCTCCCTCTGAATTCTGCCACCTTTTGGGCTTGAAACAAATCCCTCTCGCTCCTTCCTGCCTTCTGACTTCAGTACCATCTCCTTTGATTTTCCTTGCACAGTAGGCTGGCCCTTAACTAGAGAATACATGCAGAGGCAGAGAGCACCCCGCAAATCAATTGCAGCCTCCGAAGGCCAAAATCCCAGGGGAGAAATGAAGGATTTCAGTCACGTTGCTTCTGGCTTTCGGCAGGCAGAGAAATCCTTTTTTTTTTTTTCTTTAAAGAGGAAAAGACTGGAATGGGCTAACTAAGCTCAACTTCAGAGAACAGATTGGGGTGGTGGGGGACGGAGGAGGGGAGTGGGGGCAGAGGAGGAGCCTGGGTAACTAAACAAAATAAATACATATAGGAGAATGGAGTGTCTCCTTTTTCTGCTCCAGGTGTTTATAAGAGGAGCAAAGAGAAGAAGGAGAGGAAGGAATGACCAAATAAGGTATCCGAAACCAGTTGGTTAACATGCAAAAAGGGAGGGGGAAGGAAGCTGCAACATAAAAGGACCTTTGTGGAGATAGCAATGCTATATGAGTCAAGCATTGGTAGATTTCCTTAATCTTGTCTCACTGCTTCATTCTCTTGGTATAATGTGTTGGTGGTGGTGGAGGTAGTGATGATGATGGTGATGATGATACAATTTCCTGCTTCTCTGAAGAAGCTCTAGTTATTTAGAAAGACCCTTCACCATTTTTCCCTTTACCCTCCCTAACCTTGTTTCAGGTTTATTTTTCTTCCCCCAATCAGAACATTACAAAAATAAATCGTGGGAATAAAGTAAAAGAAAGAGAGAGAGAGAATAGTTACTTTAGTCCAAACTGTTTTCAATTTTAAAAGAAAATTGTGCTCAATCAATCAATCAGTTAGTTTCAGGGCCATCTAAGTGCCGGCATTTTTTTATTCACAAGCAGCTTCTAAATGTATGGTTGGTTAAATCTGCAAAGAACTGGCAGAAAAACAATCAAAATACAACTGTTGTATTTCTTTCATGCTACTTTATGAACACAGATCCTACCTGAAATTTAACAAAATGTCCATTGCTTTACAGATTACAATGATGCTTGATATTTCTCTCTTTTTTTAAAAAAATATATCAAATGAATTGAATTTTATTTGGGTATTTTCTTTTTTGTTTTAGTGAAAAAAATATAGACAATGATTTATTGTTGCCACAGCAGTATGTTTTAAATAAAAGAAGTAAATGAAATCATTTTTTTTATGAAATGGGAAGTACAGTTCTCAGATTTTATTCATCCTCAAATTGTACTATGAAGTTCTTTCACTTTTTAGAAGGGAACTTAGATTTAACTGAAGCAGAATTAATGGATCAGTAGCATGCAAAACAATATAAATATTTTATGTTTCTATTCTGTAAGGATCTTTGCATATCTGCTCGGTATATTCATGGGTTTTTATACATCAGAAAAAGAAATAGATACAAGGGATAATAGCAGTGAAAGACGAATGTGGAGAGTTATTTCAATTTATCTCAGTCAAATTTATTATTAAACTGCATAAATGTTTTATTCATCCTGACAAAGTATAACTGCTTCCATAATATTTATGCAACTGGAAGCATAAATGTTTTCACCGTTATGGTTTTATGTGTAGCTATCAATACATATACATTCTTCTCTGTGTTTCAAATTTTACGAAACACTGTAAGTTATAAAAGGGTGTATTGGAGAAGGATGCTGCCTCCAGTTGAATCAGCCTCCAATCCATCAAATGTAAAAGGGATTTAAATAATACCAGGTATGGTAGTTAGATAAAAAGAAAGATGGTTTATTTCTGTATGTATGGCTTGAGACAAATCATTGGCTAGGAGACCAGGATAAGTCAAAAATTATTTCTTGCTATAAGGACTATATGCTTGAATATATGTAAGCATCTCATGTTTATTAGAAAGGTGAATGGATTTTATATCATATCAGGCACCAGATAGATTAGGAAAAGAATTAGGTGTTGTGGGCCACTGGTGGGCAGTGGTGCTGGCAGAAGAGTTGGACAGTGAGGAGGCTGGAGAGGAGCATGGGCCAGTCCTGAAGGCTGGGGAAGGCTCGGACGAGGACTCTGCATCAGAGGCAGAGACAGGGTCAAGGCCATCTGGCAGTGATTGGGTACCTATGGAGCTAGACAGCAGTGA